TAGAGAGATAATATCTCTCTAGGGCTCTGGACTACATGAGCTGAAGCTTGGTTGCTAGGTTACTAGCTGGGTGTTCTCCAATAAGGGGCCGGGGGAAACAAAGTTAGTGATTACTGGTTCCATGTTGATTTAATTCAATACAAATTGTTGGGGGGAACTGAAAGGCTATTACCGTACTGGTTACTTTGCAGCCCGGACATTTCCCCCAAAACACATTTAGACGCTATCGCAACATAGAAGTACCTTTCAAATCCGATAATTTTCAAGACCTTCTGAATCATATTTAAGACCTTTTTAAGGCCTTAAATTCTGATTATCAAATTTAAGACTTTTTAAGACTTGTTAAGACCCCGCGGGAACCCTGATTGTAACTTTTTTTAATTGTCTGAACTTCTCCCACCTCTGACAATAAATCCTGAGTGGTTACCAAAAAAAAAACCCTGCTCTGAAGGTTATTTTCATTTTACAAATCCTGCACTCAGCTTTGCTTTCTCCAATATCATTGAAAAGCAGCCAGATGCTGCTTCTTTTTTCGGTTTTCGCTCATTTCTTGACTTTTTCCGACGCGCTTGCATTTATATCCGGCTCCCCGTCTCCCCGTCGCTCTGTGCAGCTGGCCTGTACCACTACACATGCTGTGCCCCCCACCCTTCTTTCACATAATGGTATGATCCTAGTGTGTCCTTGCATATGATTGGCCGCATGGTGGCCCAGCTAAATAAAGACCCGCCCCTGCCTGAAGGATTCTCAGCAAGAGTAGGAGCGGCTGAAGATTCTGCTCTCCCCGACGGGAGTCTGCTCTTCTAGCGGCAGCTCGCGATCGGCGTGTTGGAGACCTCTGAATTAAAGTAGCAAGTCACCTCAAGTCAGAAGGCTCAAGTCCAAGTCAAGTCCCGAGTCATTGGTGTTCAAGTCCAAGTCGAGTCGCAAGTCTTTTGTGATGTTGTCAAGTCGAGTCTCAAGTCATAAAATGTGTGACTCGAGTCTGACTCGAGTCCAAGTCATGTGACTCGAGTCCACACCTCTGCTTCATACTGTATAGTTCTCTTATTCGTCCTGCATTTATTGTGCCCCCCTCAGAAAATAACTGGCCCCCCAGTGGCCCCCCCAGTCAAATTGGTCTAGAACCGCCACTGCATTTGCGGTTGTTTAAGAGCTGCGTGGCAGGATGATGTTCGAAAATGACACTTATTTTGGGAGTCAACTTATATTTGTGTCCTCTGAAAACATGTACATGTTGACTTTAACCTACTATTTATACCCGAGAATGTGTTTAAAATGTCCATTGACAACAACGCTTTGTTCTCCTTATCTCACTTCCTTGTTTTTATTACCTCAGCCAAAAAGGTTTTATATACTTGGTTTGGCGTTTGTTTATCAGCTGTATTACAAAAAAAACATTTGGCCTGGTATTTTTGAAACTTAGTAAAAGGTTGAATAACCCCAAACATTTTGGAGCAGATCTGAAAAGTGTGACCTGGTTGTGACTGTAACATGTAAGAAAATCATTAAGTGAACTATGCCAATTTATCTTGGGTGTTAACTTATAATTGTTTCCTCGGATAACATGTACATTTTTATTTTAACCTACTTATTCTACCCTTAAATGTGCAGAAGGGTGAAGCACTTTGGAACCGATCTGAGTCAAAGGATGGACACACGCTTAATTGTTCACTCAACTTCCTTCTAGTTGTCAAAAGTGACCCTGTTGTGTCAGTAACATATCATAGTTAGCGGTAAAAGCGAACCATTAGACCCTGACAGCAGGCCTCGCTTGACCAAATGTGCCTTTAGTGTCAGTAAAGTAAACTACATAACAACAGCCAGTATACATCACATCAGCTGTAAAAACACCTTCATCCACAGCAACGAGTGAGCGATCAACACGTGAAATTTGAATCTTCCATTGTAAGATTTCAAAAATATACATTTCAAAGCAGGGAATAGACAACACCTGTTTTTACGGTAGAATAACATGTGCTTGGAGTGCATTGTGAAGTCCCTGAAGAGTGTTATATGTGCTACAGGTTTCCACTACAGTGAGTTTACACACACACACACACACACACACCCCCACACACACACACACACACACACACACACACACACACACACACACACACACACACACACACGTATACATTACTTCAGGGGACATTACATTGACTTACATGCATTTCCTGGAGACTTATCCTAACCTTAACCATAACCAACACATGCCTAACCCTAACCCTAATCCTAACCAAGTCTTCACCCTAACATTAATGAATCCCCTCATGGGGACCTCCATTTTGTCCCCATAAGGGAGGCGAGTCCCCACACGTGACTGTGTAAACAGATGTAGGTCCCCACAATGATAGTAATACTAGGCCACACACACACACCCACACACGCACGGAGGAAAGTGCTCTGTAATGGCCACTGGACACTTCCCAGAGGAAGAGGAACACTAATGCACTGAGGACGACCCCTAAATACTGATTCATGTGTCTCTCTCACTTACAGCCGGACAGCACTTACTGTCCCCTCTGCGTGTGTGTGTGTGTCCTCAGGGAGCAACAGAATCAATACTCATTGTCCAGACACTCACTTGTCCCATTCTGTCTCTTCTCTATTTACCCCCCCCCCCCCTCTAACATTAAACCCACCATCTTTACTCCCATCTCCTCCCCAGTTTCTGAATGCATTCGTTTCACGTACTTGGCGGAGGAAATGACGTCGCTGTGTTTGTCCGAGTCCAGGATCTTGGCGAGGTGGGAGGCCACGGAGTCTGCATACTGAGTGATGTGGACCTGAGAGAGAGTGAGAGAGAGAGAGAGAGAGAGAGAGAGAGAGAGAGAGAGAGAGAGAGAGATAGAGAGAGAGAGAGAGAGAGAGAGAGAGAGAGAGAGAGCAGACTTAGAGAGATGTGTCTTTATTTTATTTCTTTCATTCTTTTTGCATTTGATACTTGCGGTTATTATCCTTGACGCTTTGGCAATATTGGTCACCTGACATTCGTGCCACTTAAGAATATTTAATTGAGAGAGGGTGGAGGTTTGTTCCTGGGATGATTTGAGACAGTAACACCTCAAGTAGGGAAGACTCTTTTAAAGTAGGTCTTGACATTTTCATCATGTGACTGGATATAAATCTCCGTCCTTTTGACCACTTTGAGTAACCCTGAAGTCCAGCAAACTGTCCTTCAAACTAATGCAGCACTTTCTATATTTTCAAGATGTTTTGAAAGCCGTCTGCTTTAGATTACATTACATGTCATTTGTTAGATGCTTTTATCCAAAGCGACTTACATGCATTCAGTACTGTGGACAATCCCCACAGGAGCAATTTGGGGTGAAGTGTCTTTTAGACACAACGACATGCTGACTGCAGTGGGACTCGAACTATCCCCTGATTCGAAGTCCAGCACTCTATCCACTGAGCCACAGCCTCCCCAGATCAACCCAAATCATATCGTCCTTCAGTTTAGTGCTGACAACTAGGTTACATTTCATCTTCCTAGTATGAAAATGTACCCTTAACACCTAGCTGAGGTCTGGAAATGTGATATTAATAACAGATCTGAAGAGTGATAGTATTTCTTAGAAAATCTACAAACACATTTTAATGGTAGGTATTGTTTCTGTTGTGGTGCAGAAACATTTATTTGGGTGGGTTTATTATGCCTGAATCAGTCATTTGAAAACGTCAAATAGAGACAGAATAGTCTAAGTACTGACAGCACATTTGATCCACTTGTACATAACGCATTCAGCCAAAAAAGACCTTTTAACTAATTGACAAATGACTGATGAGATCCTTTAAACTGGAAGAACACTCCATTTTCCCTCAATCATTCACTAAGGCAATGAATGAATTAGTGGATAAAAACTGGCTATGAAAGTGCATTATCATGCTGTAATAAAAGCATGCCCTTAAACCACCAGAAAGAGAGGTTTGAAGCAGCTTAAAATCAAAATACAGAGCAGCTCTCAGTCAGTTTCTAACCCCCCCGCTTTAGGGCTGATTGCCTCGGCTGCCAGCTGCCAGGTTCAATTGATCCTCAGTGGATGTTTTCCAAAGTCTTTTCTTGGAGCTGTGGAGATCTGGCAGCTAATTTATGGACACCATCTGTCAAAAAGGCAGACAGCTTCCCGAAAGTAATTTACCTGCAGAGGAGAATCGAGGCTGTCGTCTTCCTTCGCCGTCGGGGTGCGTTTGGTGGTGGTGGGCACCTCGTACGTCATCACACTCCATCTGAACACAAACACACACCTCTGTCAATGTCACGCGACAGAATATACACTTTTTTAAAATCCGATTATCAGATTGAGATAGGAGGAGAGGACACGGGGTGTTTCTCAATGTCGAGGAAGGCTGCTCCAGAGCCACTATTTCAAGCATACTACATCATCGAGTGCCGCCGAAGGACTGTTCCAATGTCCAGCATACTTTCTACCGAGGCCGGTGTACTTCGTAGCGAGAAATTTCGAGGACTCCGCGGTCTTAAAATCCCCACAATGCTTTGCGCACGGACCAATAACCAAATATTTTGCGGAAATCGCGCTCCATTTAAGGCGGGGCCTCACATAAGACTCACACCTGCTAGCCTGTTCCACCATTCTTCGTTTTCCGAGGCTAGGAAGGATTCTTGTTGTTAATTTGTTGCTTGAAAATGATTTTGCTTACAAGTTAAAGGAACATGTCAGGAAAGCTTTTAAAAATGTGCAAAAAACGGTGCTATAAATGTTGACAAACGCTTCTGAAAATGTCCCGTGACGGTGCAAAAATGTTTTGATAAATGGTGTTAAAAGAAAGTGCTGACTGCTTCTAAAAACAGAGCTTAAAATGGTGCTAAACTATTCTAAAACTAGTGGTAAACTGTGCTTAACAGTGCTAAGAAGAACAGTGCTAAAAATGGCGATGAACAGTGCTAAAAGAAATGGTGATAAATTGTGCTAATGATGGTGCTAAACTAAACTACAACTAGTGCTGAACTTAATTGCGCTAAATAGTGCTAAAAGCGGGGCTATACGGTTGTTTTCTTTTCCCTCTCAGGTCTCACCGGTCCAGCATCTTGGTGGTGGCTCTCTCCAGCTTCTCCAGGATCTGCAGCAGCTGGGCGTCGTCGTCGCAGAGCCCCCCCCAGCCCAGCACGCGGGCCAGGTCGTTCCCCGTGCCCAGCGGCAGCACGCCCAGCTGGCACTGCAACCGAGAACAACATGTCATCAGAAAACTAACGGATCCTTTCCACTCCCATCTTAAAGCTGAACTAAGTGCTGCGGACTGTGATCGTACGGTCAGGTCGAATCTTGAATACAAGTGAAAAACATCACACTTGATACCCCTTAACATTAACACATGTGTTTCTTTAATCAAATATGACCTTGAATTATTCGAACCTTTTTGACACGGCACTTGTGTTTTCAAATTAAAAACTATGTTATCCGTCATGGCATTTGTTAAGTCAGATTAAATCCATGACATTATTTAATTAGATGAGTGTATCATTGGTAGTGAGGCATAACCTACCTCACTTTCTCGTCACTCCTGTCCCGTCTTTTCTATCTATTTTTTTAAATACCACCTTATTTATAAAAACCTACGAAGGCCTGGGCCGCTCACTGGAGGTATATTGCCTCATAAGTTATAAGTTGGAAAAGTCAATCCAATGTAGGTAAATCCTTCTTGATACTTGAAAATGCTGTTAGAAAAAAATATCTCAGCTCTCCAGAGGGTTTCATTTATTGTGTTAGCAGCTCATTTCTTAAAACAGAGGGCCGACTCAAAATGGTCCGCGGGCCGTAGTTTGGGCACCCGTGAGCTACAGCAACATATTACAAAATGTGTCGTACTTTAGTTCTAATAGAGCTTTTTTATCATCAGCATTATAGGTAACTTGCTGCTTTCTCTTGCCTTCAGTGTTTTCGACAATTACCTGACTATTATATCACCCCCCCTCTTCCTCCTCCTCCTCCTCCTCCTCCTCCTCCTTTCTGCACTCACCTGTTTATGGAGGTTGAGTTTATCGAGCTCTGAGAGCACCCAGCCCACGCTGCCGTCTCCTCCGCACACCAGGATACGAAACGTCACAAACTTCTGGAAAAGGCGCAGGCTGAGGGGAGGAAGAGGAGGACGAAGAGCACACAGTGTTAAGAGGTACATGTCAAGAAAAGGCAGCACAATTACAGCATGCAGTCGTGACGGACTACAAACTCTCACTACTGAAAAAAGACTTTTCAGCAGCATGAGCTTATTTTTGAGCTTATTTTTGAGCTTATTTTTCCGTCGGTTAATTCTGGACATTACTGATGCAAAAACATCCCCTTTCGGAAAGTGCCATTAAAAGTTACTTCTTTTTCCGGGGCAGAAGTTTAAAAATCAAACTCAGATCAGATCATTTTTTATGGCACAAGACAACTTACAAATGTTCTTATTCCAACACCATTTTCAAGAGGTTTTAGTGAACAGCCTCATTTTACAAATACTTCGTTACTGTACTTAAGTACATGTTTCTGGTATCACTGGTACCACTACTTATTTTTCTGACGACTTTTTACTTTGACTTTTTACATTTCTTACACAAATACCTGTACTTTCTACTTCTTACATGTTGAACTCAAATACCTGTACTTTCTACTTCTTACATGTTGAACACAAATACCTGTACTTTCTACTTCTTACATGTTGAACTCAAATACCTGTACTTTCTACTTCTTACATGTTGAACTCAAATACCTGTACTTTCTACTTCTTACATGTTGAACTCAAATACCTGTACTTTCTACTTCTTACATTTTGAACACAAATACCTGTACTTTCTACTTCTTACATGTTGAACACAAATACCTGTACTTTCTACTTCTTACATGTTGAACACAAATACCTGTACTTTCTACTTCTAACAAGTAGAACACAAATACCTGTACTTTCTACTTCTTACATGTTGAACACAAATACCTGTACTTTCTACTTCTAACAAGTAGAACACAAATACCTGAACTTTCTACTTCTTACATGTTGAACTCAAATACCTGTACTTTCTACTTCTTACATGTTGAACTCAAATACCTGTACTTTCTACTTCTTACATGTTGAACTCAAATACCTGTACTTTCTACTTCTTACTTGTTGAACACAAATACCTGTACTTTCTACTTCTCACATGTTGAACACAAATACCTGTACTTTCTACTTCTTACATGTTGAACTCAAATACCTGTACTTTCTACTTCTTACTTGTTGAACACAAATACCTGTACTTTCTACTTCTCACATGTTGAACTCAAATACCTGTACTTTCTACTTCTCACATGTTGAACACAAATACCTGTACTTTCTACTTCTTACATGTTGAACTCAAATACCTGTACTTTCTACTTCTTACTTGTTGAACACAAATACCTGTACTTTCTACTTCTTACATGTTGAACACAAATACCTGTACTTTCTACTTCTTACTTGTTGAACACAAATACCTGTACTTTCTACTTCTTACATGTTGAACACAAATACCTGTACTTTCTACTTCTTACATGTTGAACTCAAATACCTGTACTTTCTACTTCTTACATGTTGAACACAAATACCTGTACTTTCTACTTCTTACATGTTGAACACAAATACCTGTACTTTCTACTTCTTACATGTTGAACACAAATACCTGTACTTTCTACTTCTTACTTGTTGAACACAAATACCTGTACTTTCTACTTCTTACATGTTGAACACAAATACCTGTACTTTCTACTTCTCACATGTTGAACTCAAATACCTGTACTTTCTACTTCTCACATGTTGAACACAAATACCTGTACTTTCTACTTCTTACATGTTGAACTCAAATACCTGTACTTTCTACTTCTTACTTGTTGAACACAAATACCTGTACTTTCTACTTCTTACATGTTGAACACAAATACCTGTACTTTCTACTTCTCACATGTTGAACTCAAATACTTGTACTTTCTACTTCTTACATGTTGAACCCAAATACCTGTACTTTCTACTTCTCTCATGTTGAACTCAAATACCTGTACTTTCTACTTCTCTCATTTTCCAAACAGCTGGTTCCTTTAGTCTGAATGTGTGTTTGATGCGTGATCATTATTCTTTAGAGTCATTGCGTGCCTATTGATTTGAACACGATCCGTGTATCCATCATTTCCTGGTCTTCTCTAAAGAAGAGGGACCAATGGAAACGTTGTCATGTTGCCGTTGTTCAGCATGGAAACATTCATTAGCTAACAATGACATGATTGTTCTATTCATATAAAGGGAGGTCAGGTACTCTTTAAAACAGCTGCTAGTTATGGGTACTTTTTACTCGAAGTCCATAATTCTTTACTTTTACTTGAGTAGAGAAGTTTAGTCAGTACTTCTACTTTTACCTGAGTACTTTTAAACACAAGTATCTGTACTTCTACTTGAGTAAAGGATGTGTGTACTTTTGCCATCTCTGCTTCTAAGTACCGTACTATGACAATTTGTGAATACACCTTTGATGACTACAGACTCACACTACTGGAGCTTCAACGACGAAAACAATTATTTCATTATTTATAAAGGGATTACAATGGTTTTGTACCCGAGCTCTGGTCCTCCGTTCATCAGGTCGAAGACTTGAGCCGGGTTGAGAAGCTGCTTGAATTTTCGGAGGAACTTCACCCCCTGATTGTCTCCGCTTTTAGAGTTCACGAGGACCAGGAGAGGGCTGGAGCACGAGGCTGAGGTGGCGTTCCAGAAGCCTGAAAGAAAATGAATAACAAAGGTTTTAATGGTAAAGAAAATGGGAAAAATTCCGTCAGGATAAATAAAGTCTTATTGTATCTCTCTGTTGAATACATGTTGAACAAGCTGGAGAACTGTGACCAAAGTGTACCTTTTTTGTTTTTTTAAATATCCATAATATGTAGAAATAAGACAAATGCTGTCCTAAGAACTTTCAACAACGTTGCAAATATGAATCTGTTCAAGTACAACAGGTATTACTAAGCGTGCTAAAATATAAAGGTTTATAGTTGGGTGTTTTTTTTACATTAAAAACACAAGGATTATTATTATTATTATTTGGATGCAGAGGAGGCGGAGACATTGCAACAGCCCCTTGTTTTTTTTCTACCTTTGCGGATAATATTGACCCCACTGGAGATGAAAAATGACGTGTGTGTGTGTGTGTGTGTGTGTGTGTGTGTATGTAAGAGGTGTCTCACCATCTGAGTCGATGCTGTTAAGTGCAGTGGGAGGGATGATTGACACTCGATATTGACCCAGGGGACACACCTTCCCCATTTGTTCTGTACAGCTGTTGTGGACCTGCACGCACAAACACACACACACACACACACACACACACACACACACACACACTGTCAGCGGTCTCCATAGCAATTCTATATTTCAGTAGAAGCAGAAAGGTCATTATATCCCTCCGAGACCGACGAAATGTCAGTTCTGTAACCTTCACAAATACCACTCTGATTCATTTGTACGTGTGCTTGTACGTACGTGTGTGTGTGTGTGTACGTGTGTGTGCTGTGGATTAGATTATTAATGTGTGTTCATTTGCCCTAAACACACAAAAGCAATTCACCCTTTGCTAAATGGAACTGAGAGGCAGAGTAAAATGACATCTGTGTCTTAAAGGACAATTCCCTTGAACTTTTCTGCTGGATTTTGAAATGAATGCTGTCTTTTGTTCTGACACTAAAGTGAAGTCCATCAAATGTAGCTTACTTTGCTTTTTATTAAATGCATTACAGTAAAGAGAATTTTGTTTTTTGCCCAGGAACGTTATTCTCCTCATCTCGCTTGAGACGAGAATTCACTTTTATTCTGAAGGTATTCTCACACTTCCTGTTTTAACCCAGATAATAGTTTTTTGCATTTAAATGGTAAATGGTAAATGGACTGTACTTATATAGCGCTTTATCCAGTCTTTACGACCCCTCAAAGCGCTTTACATACTACATGTCGTTCACCCATTCACACCCATTCATACAGAGCAGTACCACTTGCTCTAGAACCTAACATTCACACACATTCACACACCGTCGGCCATCGGGAGCAACTCAGGGTTAAGTATCTTGCCCAAGGATACATCGACATGTTGGCTGCACGGGCTGGGATCGAACCCACAACCTTCTGGTTGAAAGACGACCGCACTCCCTCGCAGCCACAGTCGCCCATTTAGAAAAAGCTACTAAAAGTCCACATTTGGGACATTTAAAAGATATTGTTTACCATGCAGATCAATACATGTATGTCTTCTCCTTAGCGTATTGATATATTTTAGATTGTTGCTTTTATCGCATTGAAATCGTCTACTGTTTTTACTTATGGTGTGTGACACTGTACAGTGTTTATTTGACTGTACAGCACTTTGGTCTGGAGGTTTTAAAGTGCGTTATAAATAGAGCTGTATTGTATTGTATGATGAATCCATGTGAAAACTTCCTAACTCTAAACTGAGCTAGCAGTGACGTTGGAAAAATAAATGCTAACGCTGATTTGACAGGACAGTTTTGTGACAGGGAGGAAGGCAGAATCAATGGACTCACGATGGCTTTGCACCAGAGGCAGCGCCAGTCCTGCAGCCGCCGCACGCTGCCACAGTTCTTGTCACACACGACACATTTAGCGCTGACTGGCAAGTTGCCTTCGAGCCACTGGTGGGGCATGACAACCTGGGGAAGATATGCAAAGAATACTCAGAACATGAGACATCAGTGCGCTCAGGTATGACGAATCAGGGAGGACATTATTGTATTCAAACAACTACAGAAAGTGCTTTTGTATCCTGATCAGAGGTGGGAAGTAGTGGAGTACAAATACTTAGTTACTGTACTTAAGAACATGTTTCTGGTATAAGTACTTTACTCCACTACTTATTCGACGACTTTTCTTACTGTACATGTTGAACTCAAATACCTGTACTTTCTACTTCTTACATGTTGAACCCAAATACCTGTACTTTCTACTTCTTACATGTTGAACACAAATACCTGTACTTTCTACTTCTTACATGTTGAACCCAAATACCTGTACTTTCTACTTCTTTCATGTTGAACACAAATACCTGTACTTTCTACTTCTTACATGTTGAACACAAATACCTGTACTTTCTACTTCTTACATGTTGAACCCAAATACCTGTACTTTCTACTTCTTACATGTTGAACTCAAATACCTGTACTTTCTACTTCTTACATGTTGAACCCAAATACCTGTACTTTCTACTTCTTACATGTTGAACACAAATACCTGTACTTTCTACTTCTTACATGTTGAACTCAAATACTTGTACTTTCTACTTCTTACATGTTGAACCCAAATACCTGTACTTTCTACTTCTTACATGTTGAACACAAATACCTGTACTTTCTACTTCTTACATGTTGAACACAAATACCTGTACTTTCTACTTCTTACATGTTGAACACAAATACCTGTACTTTCTACTTCTTACATGTTGAACACAAATACCTGTACTTTCTACTTCTTACATGTTGAACTCAAATACCTGTACTTTCTACTTCTTACATGTTGAACACAAATACCTGTACTTTCTACTTCTTACATGTTGAACTCAAATACCTGTACTTTCTACTTCTTACATGTTGAACTCAAATACCTGTACTTTCTACTTCTCTCATTTTCCAAACAGCTGGTTCCTTTAGTCTGAATGTGTGTTTGGTGCGTGATCATTATTATTTAGAGTCATTGCGTGCCTATTGATTTGAACACGATCCGTGTATCCATCATTTCCTGGTCTTCTCTAAAGAAGAGGGACCAATGGAAACGTTGTCATGTTGCCGTTGTTCAGCATGGAAACATTCATTAGCTAACAATGACATTATTGTTCTATTAATATAAAGGGAGGTCAGGTACTCTTTAAAACAGCTGCTAGCTATGGGTACTTTTTACTGAAGTACATTTCAAAGCCCTCTTTACTTTGACTTGAGTAAAGAAGTTTAACCAGTACTTTTACCAGAGTATTTTTAACGTCTGTACTTCTACTTGAGTAAAGAATGTGTGTACTTCTCTGATCCTGGGTTACTAAACACATCACAGTTGTTATATTTAGTCTTGTAAGTTTATCCGCTCGGTAAGCTTTCTTTTTGTCGACAGGTCTCACTGAGTTATAACTCACCCCTTCCTCATCCTCAATGATGTCATATCCTATGGAGGCCAGTGTGGTCCATTTGCAGTTGTTGGTGGAGCGGACTGCACAGCGCTTATGAGCCTTGAACTTGCAAACTGCAGGAAAGAAATCAATAAACGTCATCGTTATTTCATCGTTAAATAAATATCCATGACAATTCAAATGCATGATTTGCTTGGCAAGTTATTGAAACCTTTTTTACACTGTTATTTATCATTATTCGCAACTTAAAGACGGACCAATCGTTCAGCTAAAATGGAAAAAAAGTTAGAATTGTTGGTATGCTTGGATAAATAAGACCATGATATATCTATTACGTAATCTCTTTCAAAACTAGTTCAACCATTTTAGTTTTTGAATGAGTGTTGGACCAATTATGCTCCATTTATCGGCTGATTTTTATGTTTCAAAGTCATAAATAACTCCCTGGTCAGCATTCAATGTTTCCAAGGTGTCAAACACGTCACGAAACGTTCCTCATGCTGCAATAATGAAGAAGTTATTAACTGTCTTGTCACAGTCACGTGTTCTAAATACTTGTCTAGAAGACTGACAGGAAAAGGGACATTTATGTAACAGCATGGTACATTTAAACATGATTGCTTAGTGTTGAGAAAATACTGAATGTCCTCGTCCAGTATGAGAGTCCACATGATAACAAAGGTATCCCAACTGTGTACATGACAGGATGTGTGATTACCTTTGAGGCATATGATAGCTATGTGATTAACATGATGATTCAGCCTCATATGACAAGCATGCTCATTTCTGACGTGGAGCTAATCTGAACTAAACATTGAAGACTGCTTTCTATTCCTCCATCTTGTGAAAGTCAGAATTTTGAGATTTAGAGAAAAAGTAAGAATTTTGAGAAAAAAGTAAGAATTTTGAGAAAAAAGTCAGAATTTTGTACATGACATGATTACCTAAGAACCGGTATTTCTCCATCTATCTGTCTATCAGCATGTGAAGGACACTTCCATTCTTGAGAGGATCATAAATACATGGATCCTGAGATTGAAGCTCAAGCCGGTGACCAGTGATATTTTTCTAACACTAAGTACATTGGGTCTCACTGTGTCTCTAAATGTGTGTGTGTGTGTGTGTGTGTGTGTGTGTGTGTGTGTGTATGTACCCTCGCAGGACAGGCCGTGGGAGGTGACGCCTGGCAGAGCCTCCCGGCAGACGTTACAGAAGGTCGGTCTGGCGTGAGAGCAGGCGTACCAGTTGTGCATCCCGGAGAAATGCTCCATGTTGAACTGGCTGGCCTGGAGGAGGAGGAGGAGGAGGAGGAGGAGGAGGAGGAGGAGGAGGAGGAGGAGGAGGAGTAGGAGGAGGAGGAGGAGGAGGAGGAGGAGAGACGACAGAGACGACAGCGCTTCATGTTAAACTGGCTAGATTCAGAAGATGGAAACACAGACACAAAAGTCATCCGAGCGCTACGTCAGAATATGTAGCCTGGGGGAGGACAGATATTGCAGGATGGGGCGATGACTCTTTGTATTTCACGCTGGACTACATAGCCAGAGGAAGCATGGATAACCATCACTTCAGTCACATGCTTTTATCACATGGCAATACTTGTGTTGATGTATAATGTTGTATTTCGTTTTTATAATTCTTCTTGTGATTTGGTATAATACATTTGTATTTGATTTGATTTGATTTGTTAAGGACATCAGCAGTACCCATTAAACGTTGTTGCCTCGGGATTGGGACGATGATAACTTCACTACAGCTTGAAATTAACCTCCCTAAACAGAAAGATCCACTCTCCTGCTTTTCAGAAGGTGTTCACAGCTAGAGAAATCAGAATGTCAGATCTGTAAAAAGGATTTGTTCTGAGAATATGCCATCCTCAGTTTGATAAGTGCTCCTGAAGTAGTATTAACGACTAACAAGATAACGGCAAACTCCTAAATGTGAGAAACATTGAAACCGAATGAGAGAAATTCAGCTCGGCTTTAAAGGCTTTAGCTTACAGTCTGCGGCTCTCTTTATAGCACCTTAAAAAACAAGGGTTTATGAGCAATATTCATCTGGAAGGAAAGCTTAAGTGAAAAGTCCATAAGAGAAAAGTGAGGGGGAGAGTATGTTGTTCCAAGAAAGCAGAACAGGACGATATGTTGTGAAAATAACTAATGCCCCTTTCACACCAAGGCTTTTCCCGTTCTAGCTCCATGCTAGAGCTTTTCTGGTTCGGAACTGGTTCTTCGGTTCAGCTCCCGCTCTGTTCACACCGCTCAGAGCCCGACCGGTGCTGCGTCATTGCGTCATCGGTCGCGTCATGACGTAACCGTTTGCGTGCCTGCTTCATAAAGCCAAACCGCGCGGAAACCCCTCACATCGACAACAACAATGACCGATTGTATTGAAGCGCTACTCGTTTTGCTCTATCGAAACGAAATGGAAGAAGTGGGACAACTTTACTACCAACTTTACAGTCGTTACATGCTACATTCAAGACTTCTTTACAATCATCATCATCAACTTCAACGACGATTCCGTAGGAGAAAGAAGGTAAATATCCGTCCTATTCGATGGCGTTAGAGCTAGCTGTTGTTAGTTAATTACTATGGTATAACATTAAAACTGATGCCCCTGCCCCCGCCTCCGACGTAAGCGTGACGTATGCGGTGCTTGCTTTCTAGACCGACAACGTTTTGGTGCTTGAAACGAACCGGATTCCACTGCGGTGTGAACAGGAAAAACCGGTGCTTTTCAAGCTTAAGCTCCGAACCGGCCCTGGAACCGCGTTGGTGTGAAAGGGGCATAACGGGCGAAGAATGGAGAACCCACTAGCTTTTCATAATAGGTGCGTCAATGTCCTGAGGATTTTCAAGGTGTAAGAGCAGAATAAATTACAATATCAGAAATGTTAAGACGCTAACCTCGTAGGTTTCCCATTTCTGGACGGACTTGAGAGCGCCGATCCAGTCCTCCATTTCCTTCCTGCTCTCAGCACAGAGCATTAGTTTGCGAAATGGAGTGATCACCTGAGGAAGAAGGGTACAAATTGAAACATTGAGTAAAATAATTTGTCGACATTGCATCACATTATTGGAGCCATGCTAGTAGCCCTGAGAAGCTAAATGCTAACGTCAGCATGCTAACGTTGAGCTAGTGTGCTAAAATGTGTGTATTAGCTTCTTAAACGCAATGTACAGATAAGACTGGTGGGCTCATGGGAATGTCACTAGTGTTGCAGGTACAAACTAAAACTACAACTAGATAAACTGTCACAGATAATCAAATGGTAAAATCTAACTGTAGTCTGGAATGTTGTCATAACATGCCATTGAAAACTGATCCAAATAAACCATTTTGTAATGCTTTAATCAACATTTGAGAGCCGTTTTTGTATCTTACTGTGAAGCTGTTGTTGATGTTCTTGGTGCTGGTCTCGGCCACGCTGGCGTCTGATAGGTCCACTTCATCGAAAATCAGAGACTGATGGGGGAAAAACACGACAATTCAAACACCAGCTTCTCCTGCCTTTCCCATACAAATGGATGTGTTGTAATATATATCCCATGTTTACCTTTCCCTGACACTTAATATTCATTTCTGTCCAATTTGAGATTTGATTTGTATGTGCAGTGCTTATACATTTGACATTTAAAGCTGCCGTTTCAAACACTCTTCTACCTTGCAGTCTTTGGCGTAGTAGAGTGTCCTCCCTCTGAGTTTGAAGTACCTCCTCTTCCATCTCTGAAAAGAACTGGTCTGCTTTAAGAGGATTCCCTCCTTCACACTTTTCTGTAGTGACACACAGAGAGAGGACAAAAGGGGGAAGGATTGGAGGAGAGGGAAGGAAATGAATAACAGATGTTAGGGCATCCAGACACTAACTATGAATTACTAGTGACAGCTATTCTACCTGGAGAAGCACACAAACAGAAGGAGACCAGTTTGGATTGTGTCACTAAGATTGTGTTTTCAGGAGAGCTGAAGTTTACTGAATCTGTCAAGGTGAGACTCTCACAGAAAGGTTAATTTACAGAGTATTTGTGCAATGTCACACAATATCACCAGTCATTATTAACGTAAGACCACGGTTCTAATAACCTTCCCCGGGCACTGCAGATTAACATTATCTCATTAGATAACTCTCCCTGGTAAACAAATATATGAATGTTCGGCAATGGAAAATATTAATTCATCGTGTCGGGATGCCTCTGGAAAGATGTTCCCTTGTGTTTACAAAAATAGCATCTGTTAAATAAGAAAACGAGGTTGCTACGTCTGGCTGAGGTCCAGTATTTGTGTGTAAATGGCAAAAAGTAATACAGAAAAGGTAAGTAATGTCCTGTGCTGCCATTACAGAAGCAACAGGGATGAAATGATGCAGCAGGTGGAGGTGCAGACATCTGTGTGTGTGTGTGTGTGTGAAAATGATTAACACTGCAGGAACGCGTGATTTTATTTGACACATGGATTTCATGTAATCGTATTTCCTCTCCATCTCTATTTACAAGAACACGCCCTGAGAGGACAGCATGCGCCACGGGTAATCAATTGGAGATTGGACATGAGGGTCGCCATGGAGATCCTTACTTCTCGTACAAGAGGATGCAGGCACACAGACACACACACACACACAGATGCAATCTCAGACTCTGATCACGCCACTGGCTCCGCCCACCTGCACGGTTATCACCAAACATTCCTGTATGGCAGCTTTCATTACATCAGCCTGCAATGACAAGCCTGCGGTGTGTGTGTGTGTGTGTGTGTGTGTGTGTGTGTGTGTGTGTGTGTGTGTGTGTGTGTGTGTGTGTGTGTGTGTGTGTGTGTGTGTGTGTGTGTGTGTCACTGCCGCCTGCATGTTTTCATACCAGAAATGTCACTTCTCCCTAGGGGTTATTCATACAGGCTGATATAGCTGGAGTGGATTAACAAGAAATGTTTAAGAGGAAACATAATTCCCCTAAAACCGAAATGTTACTGCCAAAGAAACTATATTTACTAGACGTGTTAAAACCAATTTTTTCGGAAAAAGTTTGATTTTAGATTAGTCAGAAGACATGTCTTAATGTTATTCAATCCTTTCTTAACAAATGCTAGGACCTTGGCACTTGTTTTCTGAATTAGTTTACAACAGAAACATCCAGACAAAGATGATACTGTACTTTCTCGGTTTGAACATAAACAAATGACTTCAAAATACGTTCATTTTATTTCACATCGTGTCAGAGATGAGATGTTGAGTTTTATTTCCAAACAGCAATTATGAACTGAGCTATTTTGGTTTTTAAAAGCTGACTTTTCACAATAAAATAGAAACAATAACGTTATAAAAACCATGAAGGAGGGTATCTGTAAACCCTATTATAATGTGTCCCAGACAATTTGGATATGACATGGATCATGCTGCTCTTTGGAAAAGCCTCAAGGACAAATGCCGGCGCACGGTAATCAGCAGACACAGTGAATGAGGTCATCTATTTATCACCTGATTCCCCGAAGTTCTTTATGTCATCTGCAATTAAACAGCTTGCACAACCTGCACTGCCACTACCAACTATGCACAAAGGTGTTGGCGTGTAAACATGAATCAGAGATGTTGAAATAATCCCTGAGAGGTTGCGTGAATAAGATTTACAACTTTGTTTTAGTGTTAATGAAATGGTAGTAAGAGTGTATCAAACGTGAATGTGTGTAAATGATTCTCTTTCCACCTCAAGGCAATACAACTCGGGATAAATCGTAATTGAATTTGAGTAATTTGGATGAATGGTGCTCGGTTGTTTTGTGGTTTGTTTTACAGTGAATTAAGCTGTAAAAAAGGCGAGAAGTAATCATTAACATTGAGAGCTGTCAGTGGTAAAGAGCTTTTTATTGACGCTATTTTCCAACCACAAAATATAAGAAGAAGTGCTAAAAGGAAAGTGGGAGGGAGTAAAAACAGTTATTGCTTTATTTAATAAGGAGCCGGCTGATGAATAGTGCTATAATAAAAAGACAGAACAGACAAGGACCAAAGACTCAATGCTTTCCTCAACAAAGGTATGTTGTTTCCCTGACTTGATAAACGTGGCAGGGTCTCTCCAGCATGACTGAAGAAATCTGCCCTGAAGGAAATATGTATCTCAGACGAAACATACCTCTATGATAAATACCAACCGACCACAAGCTTACACAAGAGAAGAGAGAGTCATGCCAACGTTTAAATGGAAGTCAGAAACTGTCAGACTGCATGACATAACAAAATAAGGCTGATGTGATATCAAAAAACACGTTTAGCATTCCCCAAACTAAGGTATCCAAACACATTGTTCGCTTAAGAGCTGGGACTAAAATATTGTCTAAGACGATCAAAAGTGAAACGTAGCCCTATTGCTAGCTAGTTAGCGTACCAATATGCAGGTCTTGTGCTTCAGTACTTAGCTTTTGAATGATACTTGTAATTTATATTGGCTGTTATATTGCTTGTAAACTAGGGCTGCTCAATTAATCGTATTTTAATCGCGAAAACAACGTAATCGAAATAAAACGATTATTTTTGTATTATTAATATTATTACTTTTTTTTTTTTTTTTTATATCTTATTTTTTCAGTTGAATTATACTTAAAGTTCAGGGTAATCAACTGTTCAAAACATACTGTTCACATTGTTTTTCTCCAATAAATGGATGTTTTCAAAGTCAATGAATAATCGCATTTAATAATCGCAATTACAATTATTGACCCAAATAATCGAGATTATGATTTTTGCCATAATCGAGCAGCCCTACTGTAAGCTGTGTTGCTAGCACTTCGTATGTCAGTATATCTTGTTCAAGGATTAGTAAGTTAACAAAATAAGCATTGTATCCTTAAGTTACTAGAGTAACCTTGCTATTGAAGCAGCTAACGGTACATCTGCTCGTTTGTAACCTCCTTATTTCCCTCCATCTCTTTCTCTTCAAGCTGTGTTTAGAGTCACTCATCCATCACTCTTTCTCTCCTTCCTCGTCATTTTCCGTGTTACTTTATCTGCTCGTCTGTCTTTGCAGCATGCTAATGGCCTTGGCATGAGTAACACAAGGCAGAAGCGCCTCAAATCTAATTCATCACTCCATCAGTTCATCATTTCTCCATTGCCTCTCTGCGAGTGTTTGTGTACACGTGTGTCCCTGAGATAGCTTGTAATGAGCTGCCACAGTGCATGTTTCTATCTTAGAATAAATGTGTTTTTGTACCCTTAGGGAGCGCAAATCTCATATTGTGACAGAAAAAAGAGAGGAGGGGAAGGGAAGGATTGATGGTGGGTGCCATGATAGATAGCCCAATGATATGGATCATTAGTGAGCGGAGATAGGAAAGAGGAAAACACACCAACAACACGGTGTAAAGGTCTCTTTGAAAGAACCACCTGACACATTGCAGATAACGGAGAGGTGAAGCACACCTTCTCCACCAATCAGGCGTCTTCACAGTTCCCACAGCAACTCTCACAGGAGCCGTCAGTCAAGAAGCTAATCTGAGAGGTTTGTTTGTTTGCTAATGACATAGCAACCGCTGATATAGCTCAAGGACGTTCAGTACTGTATGTTTGACCCAACTATGTCTGTGTGCAACCTATAGAGGCTGCATTTAAAGTGGTGTAAGAAATCCACAGCTGCTAACAGAAGGCTAAGCTTGCGAGCTGTCCATTTAGCGAAAGAGGAAATATAAAAGATGTATGGAAACACTTGAGTATTACGTTGAAAATGAGGGTTGGAATCTTGAATTGTATTTTTAAGAAGCTGTTTGTGACTTTACAGAATTTGGATGTGAGACAATGAGTGTGTTATTTGGGCTTGGCAACACCAAGATAACAAGACTTAGCTGAGTAAGTTTAGAGAAACAACGTTTACATTTAGGGCGTCACAAGTGTGCTTATAGATGGGTGTAGCCACTTTAATGCTGACAGTTTGGGGCGGGTTTCATAAAACTAAGTAAGGTAGATTTGTTAGACCAACCACACTGTCATTTGGGATTTTCAATGTGCTAGTTTTGCACACAATACAAACCTTAATTCTCTACACATATACAGGGTTACTACAGAGACAGGTGTTGCAGAATAACCCATTAATCACATTATTATACACACTGCTGCAACATGTGTGACCTTCTCACAATCTCCTCAGGGCCACTTCTGTACCCATAATGTCATTTTAATCAAGTTTCCACGACTTCCTTGTGATTGGCTACTGCAACAGAGACATATTACCAAGCAAAAAGATTAAAAAAGAACACGTGTATCATGCATATTGCATAAACATATTGTATGCAAAGGTCAGATTCTGCAGCTAGCAGTCAGACAGTACAGTAGCCACACCCTTGATGCTCCTCTCTGCTCTCCAGCTGAGTGATGTTGTCAGACAGATCAGTGTATTCATTAGAGCGGCACTAATTACATCACAACAATCAGCCCCTGTAGACCTGATGTGGACACACACACACACACACACACACACACACGTCTGTCTACCCCTACCCAGCAAATTCAGATACAGTTCTGCATGGTTGATCAAAAAAACCTCTGATTTCTATTCATTTGCTTCACAGCTGAGTGACCTAGAAACCATTATGTGGGCATTTTACCACACTTGTTGGCTTATATGTAAAGACCCCGCTTCAAGTGAGACTTTGTCAGAAATGATGGCGGAAATAGCCTACATCATGTAATAACAGGTACAACAACAGAACTCAATCTGTCATTTTTCCCAGAGGCATTATGCAATGCAGAAGAGCAACATGTGTGTGTTTTTAAACTCCACATTATAACAAAT